AGAATATAAACATGTTGTAGCATGTAAATGTTGGATTTCTATCGATATAGGACCAAAATGTTGTGGATAGAACGAGTGGACTGTATGTGTGATATAAATCAAACAATGGATAGAAAATGGTAAATACTTATAATGAGGATACGTGTACAAACGGTTGTAAGACAAAATACATTTAAAATTAAACATAAAAATATGCAAAGAGTTTGCAACACATGTAATAAAGCAAACAAAATAATATAAACATCTTCACAGTTAGATAATAAGGAAAATGTATTATTTAATCGATCGTATGTATATATTGATATAAATCACGTAATAAATGTTGAAATTTCCCGTAACAAGACGGACTAATTATATTAGTCATTGTTAGGATTTCCCCGTAAATACGATATAAAAATAGAAACGGATAGTTATGAATTAGACTCATACACTGAGGGATCTAAATAAATATTGTTAAATAGATTCTTCTTATGTACAAAACAAGCCGTGTCCGCGGTTTTAACCGCGTGAAATCAATAGCCTATATGTTATTCTAATGGATAAGCTATATTACTGCAAAGCAGTGATTCTTAAAGTGGTCTATATCGACCGCCAGGGGTCTATGACAAACTGCAAGGAGTCTACGACAGCGGTTATCCTGTTTTTACTTTATGTTTTTAAAACTATATTTTACTACAATTAGAAATTTACAAAAAATCAATACCAAGTAAGAATGGGGCGTCTATCCAAAACCGAAAAATATGGTAAACTTTTTTGTGTCGTAGACTCTACGACACAAAAAAGTTTGGCAACCTCTGCTGTAAAGTTTCGTCAAAATCCGTTCAGTAGTTTTTACGTGAAAGAGTAACAAACATCCATCCATATTCACAAACTTTCGCGATTATAATATTAATAAAATTCTCGTGTCATAGTGTTAGTTACCATACTCCTTCGAAACGGCTTGAACAATATTTATGAAACTCTATATACATATTCAGTGTATTTCTCACACCCCTAAGCGATAATTGTCCACCCATAATTTTTTTTTTATTTGGCATTAAAAAATACATACAACCCTAAATTTTCACCCTTCTACCATCAACCCCTATTTCTCAATAGAGATTTTAATTTATATGGCAACAACGTTTGCGGGGTCACCTAGTATCTTTATAAATATTTTGATACGAGTACGCAAAAAAATTGTACCAATTTTTACGAAAATTGTGTGGATAAAGAAGCACGAAAGTTCGCACACTTATAGTTTATATAGAGAACAAGTGCAGAATGGTAATAATTTTTTTATTTTTCATAATTCATCATCATCATCATCATCATCAGCCTGTGTCTGTCCACTGTTGGGCATAGGCCTTTCCCAAAGACTTCCACCATCTGCGCTCTTCCGCCGTCCGCATCCATCCACTCCTGGCCACCTTCGTAATGTCGTCGGTTCATCTTGCAGGAGGGCGCCCGACACTCCGTCGACCCATACGCGGCCTCCACTCTATAACCTTTCTTCCGCTGCTGATATGCCCGGCCCACTGCCACTTCAGCTGACATACTTTGTCCTAAATATATTAAATCGATAAAATAAACATTACATTGACGACCTCGGTGGTCTAGCTGTTTAGCACACCGCTTTACGTCCGATGGTCGCGGGTTCGATTCCTCGCACGGCACAAACATTTGTATTCATGAGTATGATTGTTTGTGTTGGTCTGGGTGTTTACTATGTATAATAAGTATGTATTTACAAAAAAAATATATAATATGATGACTAAAATATATTATTAAAAGGGGTCCCTTTAGGCAACGTTACGAAGATACTGGCAGCGTTCCCTCTTTGAATAGCTAGACTAATTCTTTGTCCAAGGTAGCTGCCAGCTCTTCGGTCTTCCATGATGTCGACTAACCTTTTCGTTATTTTTTTGAAAAGTCTTATAGCGCTAGGACCCTTGAAGATTTTTAATTTTAGGTTCTTAGTTGTACAATTAGGTTATGTAAATACTAGTAGTAAATTTCCATTTATTTTACAAAAAAATCTATGTATTTGTATCAGTTGTCTAGTACCCATAACACAAGCTTTAGCTAGCTTAACTTGAGTCTAGATGGCGCTGTGTGAATTGTCCTGAGATTATTATTATTATTCACTAACATGTACTTGACACACACACGCAGATATAATCCAGTGTTTATTCATTATGGTCCAATTTCGACCAGTGGGTGACCCCTATATTTGTATGATGTTGGACAGCGATTTTATGGGTCTGTAACCCGGCACCCCCGATGATTCGAAAGATGGGCGCAAATAACTGCAACACAGTTTTTTGTAAACTAATGTAGTTGTTTACGTTTAATATGTTATTGTTATAACTTTGTTTTTTGGTTTAAATAAATTCTTTAATTCTTTAATTCAGGCACCCATAAGCTACGGTAACCATTTACCATCAGATGGGCCGTATGCTTGTTTGCCAGCATTGTAGCATAAAAGAAGCCAACGAATTATATTATAACTATTTAACGATATCCAAAACAAATACAATTTTCAAATCTTATAAATTTGTTACTATTTCACGCAAAAACTATTAAACGGATTTTGATAAAACTTTACAGTAATATAGCTTATGCATCAGAATAACACATAGATTGAAATTTAACGCGACTAAAATCGCGGTCACAGCTAGTCTGTTATAATAAAATAATAGTAGTTTAATATGGAATACATTGTTTAAGATTATAGTTACCGATATATAGCGCTGTGAGGGATACGCGATTTATCGTTTTGGGTTCGGATCCTAAAATCCGTGTCCTATCGGAAATTTTTGTAGTTTTTCCATCAATATATCTAATTTACATAGATATCTAGTATCTAATATATATCTAACATCTACTGTTAAGTCTTAGAAATATATTATTTTATTTTTTACAAATACACACACTATAAATGGTAAAAGTATTTCTCCTATTTTTTTTTGTAATTGTTACAATGTTTTAAGTTTTTTTTGTTTTTGTTTAGTGTGTATTTTATTGTATAAGTTCATTTTATATTAAGTTTATTGCAATTGTGAGTGTCGTGTGAGCGTCGAGCAACACACAAGTTTCTTGTTCATTCTTCTTGTGATGAGTCTGCATTTCCGAGCGGTAGTATAAAAAAATGTTACTATTCAAAAGTGCTTATATTAAGTTTATTTGAATAAAAATTATTTCTATTTCTATTTAGCGTGTTTGAGCATCTACCGAATAGGTATCTATCATTTCATGTCATATGACTCTGTTTAGTAATACTTAATGTAGTGATGAATTATACAATAAGATAAATGGACTTTATCTTGTACTTTTAAAAGTCCCATTAAGTATCATTGAAAATAAATGTATTTTAATAATAATAATAATAACCCTGGACAATTCACGCAGCGCCATCTAGCCCCAAGCTTAGTAGAGCTTGTCTTTTCAGTACTAGACATTGGATATAAATACCCAAATATATATTTTTTAAATACATAATATACATACAGACCGATACAAACAATCATACTTATGAATAACAATTGCACCATGCTAGGAATCGAACCCGCGACCATCGGAAGTAATGCGGCGTAACTGCTATACCACCGAGGCCTTCAATTATATATTTACCAAATATGATATTGTTATATATTTGTTTTAGATGCAAATATGATAAATATGAAATATAGCGGTTTAGCACACCGCTTTACGTCCGATGGTCGCGGGTTCGATTCCTCGCACGGCACAAACATTTGTATTCATAAGTATGATTGTTTGTATCAGTCCGGGTATTTTCTATGTATAATATGTATGTATTTATGTAAAAAAAATTATCTATGTCTATCTATCAGTTATTTAGTACCCGTAACACAACCTTTTGCTAGCCTAACTTGGGTCTAGATGGCGCTGTGTGAATTGTCCTGAGATTATTGTTATTATATTATAAATATATACAGCTATATGTGGGCCTGTCAAATGTTGCATTCACCGTGATGCTGATAAATGACAATATATCTGTCTATCCCATTTCGCATAACAGTCGTAATGTGTAGTCAAAACTACAGTAAAAAAAATATATATTCTATTATATTTTTTAAACGTGGAATCGTACTTAATGTAATAATAAATTAGAAGCAGCTCCATCATCATTATCATTACATAGTATAAAATAAAGTCACTGTCGCTGTCTGTCCCTATGTATGCTTAAATCTTTAAAACTACGCAACGGATTTTGAAGCAGTTTTTTAATAGATAGAGTGATTCAAGAGGAATATAATACATGTACCTACACCCGTGCGAAGTCGGGGCGAGTAGTCACATTATAATATCAGAAATAGTTATTTTTTTCATAAAAATGTACGTAAAATGAAAGAAGTAATAATATATTTAAAATGCAACTACAAATAATGTATAAGTCTATTGTAGGGTGTATTGTAAAATAGAGATATAATATTAATTGTATTTAAAACATCTCAAATAAATACATGTTTATTGAATCATAATTTTACTAATAAATTGCAGACCCCAAGTAACCTACTAACATTTGTTTTTAGACAAGAAATTAATATGTATATACTTGAAAATACTAAAAGAGATGTAACTACAACTATACTGTAATAAATGGTACTGTCTCTACGTCTGTATAAAAGGATCTCGAACTAGTAAAACGGATAACTCATCCCACCCTAATGCAAGACAATCATAGACAATAAATAAAAACTAAAAAGCCCATCGCTCATAGCGCGAGAGCTTTATCAATCCCGACCGTAGCGTACAGCGCGTCCACACTACGCGACAATTTCCGTGAACGAAAATACGCGAGCATTGCACATTACGAGATCGTTGACACGGCACGCGTGGCGCGTCCTGAAACACCCGCGAACGGCTCGGCCGAGTCCCCGTCCGGCGTCCGGCCCGTGGTACTCGCGTCCGGCGTCCGGCGTCCGGCGTCCGTGGGCGGCCGCTGTGGGCGTGCAGGCGCTGCACCGCCCCGCCCCCCGCGCCCCACGCTGTTTATTCTCGGCCCGACTGGCGGGGCGACAGTCGCCCGCGTGACGCGTAACCGAACGCACGCGTGCGTCAGGTACGGACCGGACACGGACGGACCGAGCGGTGCATAATACCGGACATTGCAAAAAAAGTATCGTCGCCGCCGAAATCGGGCGCGTCGCCGTGTTTAATCGTGTATCGAGCGGGAGAAGGGTGTAGGGCGGCGGTGTCGCGGAAAATGCATTTCCCGGCGGGTGCAAGGCGCAGGCGGTGCGGGGCCAGGGGAGGGTGCATGCGATGATGGACATCGTATTGATTTCTATCTGCCCGCTCCTCCCTTATTGTGGCGGTGCAGGGAGCGCCATCGATCGTTGCACCGACCCCACGAACTAACGCGGTCTCGGGGGCCGCGCTTCATCATCACTGGACGCATCCAGTGCAGTGTCTAGTGCGTGATCATTGGTGATGAACTGTTAATTGAGGTTTTTATATTTATTACGTCACGTAGACGCAAGTGAGTTGTTTTATACGCCGGTGTAATTGGTTATACGATCTCTAGTGGAAATTATATCATTAATTACGAATTATCTTAATTGATTGTTACATACTTAATAAACGTTAGATGCGATATTACCTATATTACTGTCAATTGGAAATGCATTATTTTTCATTTTAAATTAATACTTTTGGTCATTTAAAGCATATATTGAAATCAAATGTAACTTTTTTATATTTCGATTAAATTTATATTTACGCCGCTGAATGCAAACGAGTTGCAAGAAACATACACCCTTCTCTACGTAAATATTACGATATTTCAAATTATTTCGTCATACAAAATATCACCGCTCGATCCAAACGTCGAATTATTAAAATATTTATTTTTATTATCAAATTAAACCACTACTTAGAAAACAACTAAACTATTTTGCAGGACACAATAAACAAACGTAAATAAAAAATAATACTCAGCAAACGGCGCAAGTGTTAAAAGCGCAGGAAGAAAAAGAAAGAAACGCGAGAGTAACAGGGAGAGTAAACAGAGAGTAAAAAAGAAGAGCAAAAGAGAGGAAGGAGTAAATCAGAATAAAAAGTGCGATTAGTCAGATAAAGTGGCGGCGACACTGGGCGCACGGTTGGAATGCGCGGGAGTGGATTCGTTTAGCGCGCGCGGCCGCCCAGACTCCGCCGTGCCGCCCTCCGAACACGCGGCCATGGCGACCGAAACTGGTGAGTATTTATCATATTCTACACTCTATACTCTTCATACGTTACACATAGACACCTATAAATAAACATTGTAAATAACCTGGCTTTAAAAAAAACAAGAAATTCATTTGAGCTAGTGCTAATTATTCTCAATTGAATCTGGCAAGCAGGGAAACAATCTAATATAAAACATTTTACGTTCATAAGCGGCTAAAATATCCTACATGAAAAAAATATTTTAGATTTTGTTTGATATATGTCACTTTTGACTACTTGTGTAGTATTTTATTTTTTTATATTATTCACACACATTATATGCATCTTATTAGGTATAGTAACTTGGAAGGGAGGCGGACGTTTTTATATTATTAATTGTTTATATAGAGAGAAATTCATGACACTATAATGCATATCTATATATTTTAAAATTATGCACAAAAATACATTAAATAAATAAAAAAACATTACACAGACTACCATTATGTATTTGATACACGCATAAAAGTAATCTTTGACAATAGAATCTTAATAAGGTTCGAACTTATAATTTAACTTAATTATGGTAAGTTTAACTTAATTTCGACCAATAGGCGACGACTAGTTTTTTTAAATGTAATAGTTGAGACAGCAAATGTTGTTTTGCCATATAAGTAATATTGCTATTCAAAAATAGGGGTTGATGGTAGAAGTGTGAAACTGAAGTTGTATTACACACACAATTATAAAATTATAAGTTTTTGCCAAATAAACTTTTATTGTGGACCACCATTATCATAGGGTATTAAAATAGTTTACGTTCTATTCTCAGATTATATATCGTAAAAATCGGCCATTTCAGTAGAGTTTTGTAACGAACACTGTGCAGATTAACTTATGTTCACCCACAATATATGTTAAGAATCGCTCAAGCTGTTTCGGAGGAGTTTTGTTACGAACACTTTGACATGAGACTAATAATAATAATAATAATAATTGTCATCTCCTCTCCTTAAGATGAGAATTCTTGTATAGTTTAAAAAAAAAACTTTATTTGTACCATAAGATAACAAAATTAAAAAGGAGAGTACATAATAGTTGAAGTTAGCTGGGTAATCAAATGGCAGAAAGTTGCGCAATACAAAATGAGGACCCTAAACAAGGTATTACTAGAGTATAGAATGGTATATACGAATATCTTATATATTAGATGTTCTTTTACTTCAATTTATAAACAGTTAGAATTTGTCGTCAAACCAACTTTAATCAAGAGCAATTACAATACTACGTCTTGCATATATCATGCTTCTGACTATTAATAAAGTAATTATAAACTTATATTATTACATTAATGTGTGACACATAAACTTTGTACTCTTTTTTGTATGAAGATTAAACAGTCACATTTTATATGAAGAAGTTAAAAAATCTTAAACTTAAATTGTAAACGAAAAACTGTTGTTTTCGGCTTCTGTTGCTCTAATAAAGATAAATTTATTTTAAATATCTATAATGTATACATCGTCCTGTTAGAATATTATTTTATGTATAGATTTTTGATTAACTTATTGTATAAAAATTAAATTAATATTTGCAAAAAGGGGAAGTTTCAGAATTCACTGTTGCCAAAAAATATGTATATAGAAAAATAACTAGAATATATTTAAAACAAATGAAATGATACAATATATTATACATATAGTATTTATTTATTTACGTTTCTAATCAAAAATAGCTCATACACTTTTATTTCCATATTTAGCTATAGATTTCATTTGCCTATTTCCATATAATTATATACGACATACAAGATGATTTCAGATATTTTCTAGTATACAAATACATATATGTAAGTGCCTCGGTTCTTCTAGATATTACGGTAATTACAACCAATTAAGTGGTAGACGTTATGTGGTAGCAATAATTATAATAGATCTATCTATTAATGTCTCTTGATACGTGGTACTTACGTATGTAATTTATTTTTTAATTAAAAAAAAATGGTACTCTGGATAATTCAAACAGCGCTATCTAGTTGCAAACTAAATAGGGGGTCTATTTAGGGTGTCTTATATGTACTTAACAACTGCCAGAAATATTTAAAAACATGTTTTTATTAAAACATACATAATGTATATAAAATATACTCACACCAATACAACTCATTAATACAAATGTTTGTAGCGTACGAGGAATCGAACCCTCGACAATAGGAAATTAGGCCGTGTGCTAAATCCCTAGACCACTGAGGGAGAAGAACTTAAAGTGGATTTACGGTATGGGTTTGACATAAATCCATATGGCACTCGGATATGGACATAAACGTAAAGATTTTTGCACGATTACACGATTATTACCTACTACGGAACCGCGCAGTCTTAGGGTTTAAGAGTTATTAAAGTGTTTAAAAAACAAAAGAGTATTTAAGGGTTTAAAAAACAAAATTTTCCACACAATTACTTCTTAGAGAAACTTTTTCAATCTCTATAATTACTAAGATAGGCATTTGGGTTGGCCCTTTAACTGCATAAATATTCTTTTTTCGTATCAGCTGATTGAGTAACATAGCACACTCCTATTTCTCTTGCTCTGAATGTATTCAACGGTCTCAATAGCCAGATTTGTCTGTAATTTACTGGGTTTTCGTAGGATGGCAGTAGATTTTTAGGTAACATATTAATTTCAAATAAAATAGAATAAATTTATAAATCACAGCAAACAAATAAAAAAATAGTCAGTAAATTTACATATCACAATGAAGATCCACATAGAAATCGTTACAAAAATTGTAATCAAGTTAGTAAAAGCCACTTCAGTTGGAATGAGAAATATTATTCTGTCTATTATCAGCTTAAATAGCTTTAAAATAAATATTATAGCTTTATTATATACTCTATTTGAAACTAAGGCGATTTAATGAAAATGAGAATCGACTCTACATAGTTTTTTTTATAATTTAATACTAAATTAAGTTATTAGACAGTTATTAGACACTGGCTCTACGTAATAACAGATTTTTTAATTCAATACTAATATGACTTAATCTTGTAAATTATTAAATATATAATGTCATTCAATCTATATATAGTATATCAAGTAATAAAATTTAATTCGCCAAAGACATGTCACAGTTTTTTTGTCGTCTCTATAGATGATTCTTTTTAAACTCATCATTACAATTAGCATATAAATTACATTACTATTTTATTTCATAATTATTTTTATAATAAAGAAAAATTATTTATAAAAGCAGACTTGGATTTATTTAGTCTAAGTTCTAAACTTAGGAAAAACTTACATGGATATTTTTAGATTCTTTTTTACCTTGATTTTATTAAATGATTCTTTTCATAAACAATACTGTAACTATATTATTTTTATATACGAATGTTGACTATATATGTAATTATTGTTCAATAGTATTAATTAATATTGGTGGAATATTGTGATTTACTGTATCCTGTACTAGCTGATCCTGTGGTTTCACCCACATGAAAATAGCCTATGATTTATTTTATATATAATAATATATATAATAATAATAATATCAGGACACTTCACACAGCACCATCTAGACCCAAGATAAGCTAGCTAAAGCTTGTGTTATGTACTAGATAACTGATACATATACATAGATTATTTTTTTTTTGTAAATAAATACATATTATACATAGAAAACACCCAGACCGATACAAACAATCATACTCATGAATACAAATGTTTGTGCCGTGCGAGGAATCGAACCCGCGACCATCGGTCGTAAAGCGGTGTGCTAGACCGCTAGACCACCGAGGTCGTAGCTATATTACTGTAGTTTCATCAAAATCCTTTCAGTAGTTTTATCGTGAAAGAGTAACAAACATTAATCCATCGATACTCACAAACTTTCGCGTCTATTTAAATTCAAATTAAAAATTCATGTAGGACATTATAGCGGATTATGAACGTCATTTTTATATTATATTTTTTTCCCTACCGTTTCTTTCTTTATTATAACTAATACATATAAACTTATACTAATATAAACTAGCTTTAAAAAAAAATTAATATTCAATTGAGTTTCTTGCCAGTTCTTCTCAATTGGATATATATACTGATCCAGTTCAGTTGAATATTCTATTTTTTTTAAAGCTAGTTTATATTAGTATAAGTTTATATGTATTAGTTATAATATTAGTAAGATAATGAAAAGAAATGTAACGACTTAATATTTAGATTGAGTTAATTATGACCACGTTTTTAATGTTAGCACACGCCTACAGGATGCTACATGTCATGTATTTTTAAACATTTAGTAAGATCCATGTAGTAAGCAAATAAATAAATCATCCATATACAAAGTTTTCAAGTATTAAACGTGAAAATTATGAAACTCTTTTTACGAAAATGCATGGACGAAGGAGTATGAAATTACCCACACTTATAGTTTAAATAGAGACGTAGTGCAGAAAGCAAATATTTATTTTAAATTATGAATAAAGAATACATTAAAAGAATAAAAAAACATTACGCACACTACCATCTATTTGACACACACACGTATATGTTGAGAATAATATTGTTTGTCTATAATTTTACTGGCTGTTAAATTAATTATGGTCAAATTTCGACGATTTGCGCCCACTAGTTGTTATAATTATTATATATTTAATGAAATATGTATGTAGTTATAGTATGTTGGTACTGGACGCTAGGGAAAAATTTATAATATAAAAGAAATACGTTTATAAGCGGCTATAATATCCTATATGAATAAATGATTTTTGAATTTGTATTATATGTAAAGATGTATCGTCGGAGAATGAAAAAAGTGATGTAAATGCACCTGTCAGTACTGGCGAGATGCGTACCGAGTCGAATTGTTTACTAACAGAATACACGAACGCGTGACGTACGACCGTCACACGTATACATGAGTTCGTTGATATTCGGCCCCCGCCCGCCCAAAACCACCCGCCCACCCCCATCCTGGGGATGATCCCCTCCAGGACCGGGCGGCAGGGGGCCGCCGCGGTTGTTTAATGATGTTGCTGCCGCTTGTTTCA